GCATCAGCCAGATATAGTATATACAGTTACAATAGTCCAAGCTGGACCAATGTAACTATGTAAAATGTATATATGTAAAATGTATATTTTAACTATTTAAAATATACTATGCCAGGAATTCTTCTTTACCCATTCAACACTACCTTCTTTTCTATATACTAATTGTTAGTACCACTTAGTAGAGTACTCAGACCTATCCAGCCTCAGCAGCATTCAACCTTTCATATACAGGCTGCTGACAGCGGGGCACCTGTGCATTCTGCCCGCATGAAGCTGCTGGGATTGGTCGCACACAAGCCGAATGCCCAGTGTACATATAGGCTAAAATTATCAGTTGTCTGGCTCTCTGTTTTCAATACTAGCATTTTTAGAAGAAATGGTGGGGGATACAGCCTCTTTATTCTCCAAGTACAAGCTCCCTTGGTTTTTAGTTTGCATATTTTTATTATGACAAACCTTTCCCACAGAATCCCCCAGAAGGAGCAAATTAAAACATTCATATTACAAAAAATCCACGTACTACAAACATCTAAATATCATTGTGTCTGAAATATTGTTACGTCTGCAGCCTAGCCATTGTTCTTTGAGATTTATTTTCTCATCATGTGGCTTCTTAGAAATGAATGATAAAAAGCAATATTTAACGCATTATCATTTATCACTGTATCAACTTGCAGCATGTTTCCTGTGGGATGTGTGTGTAAGATCTCTCCCATCACTACGGAAGCCAGGCTACAGAACAAACATGTTTTTGCAAAGCTATGCAGACCTTTTATTTATGATCTACATGCCGTCTAGTTTTGTGCCCTCTGACCTCTGTATTTCATAACCTAAAGCAGGCCTTCACTCCGAAAATGGACTTTTCCCCCAGGAAACCCCCTTTGCAATATAAAAAGGCCCTTTTTTTAAACGCCATTCCACCCCTTTGCTCCCATTCTCCCTAGGCAAGAATGATGTGTCCTCTTTCTGAAGCCTCCTGAAATATTCCCATCGCATTTCCCAAGAGGATGCAGCAGTAGTAAGGACTCACTGGAGAGCTTAGCTGGTATACGTTATGGGGGCTGGCTGCAAGAACCTGGAAGAGACAGCCAGCTTCCAAGGAGAGAAGAAGGGAAGCTGACCACATGGGTGCCAGCCAGAGCAGCAGACTGCAGTAAGACAATACTGGATTGATGGGGTAGGTGAGTATGTTTTCTTAAAGGGAAACTATACTCACTATTCTCCAATACTGTGGAGTCCCACAGCTTCTTGCCAACCGCTGTTATCTTCAGCCGGATCAGCTTTTGTGTTCAATCTCTGGCCATTGGCTCGGGGGAGAGGACGTCATTCTCACACATGTGCGGAAGTTCATGCATCTCAGCATTGCCAAAGTTTGTACACTGAGCAGAGAAAGGTGGTTTTTAATCTCCCAGGTTTTGTGATTCCCAGATCAGGGTATGGTGCTTGGAGACTTGAATGTGCCGTGGATTTCAAGAGGTTTCCAACTCAGTTAAAGGATAAGTTCACCTTTGGGAACATGTTACATGTTAGACCTGTTTTTAGAGTGGAACATTTAACATGTTCCCAATGCTGCATCTGCTGCCCGCTGCACCCTCCTTCCCTCTGACAGAAGTACAGGGAGAAGTTCCCCGTACTGTCAACTTTGAAAACAGCGTTCTATGAAGGAACTGCAAGTCCTGAGAGCCTTAGCGGCTGTCGGCTTGTAGTTCTCAATGAACTACCACGGCACAGCATATCTACTTGCATCCTGTACATCCGTACATCCTGTACGGGCAAGCAGATATATTGACAGATCTGCATGGTACAAGCGATCTGCTGATCAGTAGTGCAATGCTTTACAGGCTACTGCAGACAAAAATAATAAATTAACATTTTTTTACTTGCAAAAAAATATGCATTATTTGTGTTCTAAAGGTGAACTTATTCTTTAAAAACCTGCAGGGTGTATATCCAGCAGGCCTGGACTTGGACAAAAAAAATAGGCCTGGGCATTTTGTACTGAGCAGCCCAAAGCCTCGGAACCTGGTGGCTGAACGCCAGGGCCCTGTCGCAAGAGCGACCTTGTTAGTTCCGCCACTAATGTCAGTAGGATTTTACAATTGGAAGGAAGGAAGGAAGGAAGGAGAGAGAGCTGGGTGGAAGTGTGGGAGGGGCAGACACAGGAGGAGAGGACAGAAGGAGTGGCATCTTTCTCTCTCCTCTCCCATCTGTGGTGGGGCGGGGAACTGTTAGCACATGGGGACGGGATATGCTGACAGATCCCTCACAGTGCTCCGGGGGATGTGGGGGGCTGGCCGCGGGGAGGCATACAAGAGCCAAGGGCATGCAGACTTCAGGGGATGGATAGGAGAGGCGGCCGGGTGGAACACAGAGGAACCAAGAAATGCATGGTCCTCTATGTGCCGCTTGGCCGCCTCTCCTGTCCAGGAAAATGCCCGGTGTGCCCTATGGCCAGTCTGGGCCTGATATCCAGATGCACACAACCTTTATAATGAAGGTTTGGGAACAGCTCAGGGCTCCATCAGACAGACAGGAGGTCTCTGTATAGGAGTCAGCAGGACTCCAAGCTTCCCCCCCAGGAGTCAGCACAGTGCAGGTGCAGTTGGAGACAGAGCAGCAGTGAACTGAAAGAGACTGGCACAACTCATTGATAAACAAATCTACCACATGAGCATAATCACCCCAATGTCAATATATGCTGTATGCATTGTGATATGAGGGATGCTTAGCTCAGTGGTAGATGTTTTTGAGTTTATGCCAGACAGAATAAAAAATTAAGGGCCTGGTAGCCCACTTTTAAACAATAAATGAAAAGTCCTTCCAACACAAGGTTTCCCACACAGGGGGTTTCAACTTCACTAAAAATAATATACAATGAAAATGCCGAGCTACCTGGTTTTCTGGTTAGCAGTGCCTCTGTTTGGCTTGGTCATTCAGACCACTGGCTATTCAGTCTCTCTCAGCCTAGGTGACAACTCCTTGCTGTTCAGGCCTCACATGGCCTCTTGACAGAGTTTTCCCTATACCTCAGCTTGCTTCCTCCAGAGACTCACGGATTCCCTCCAGCCACGTGGACTCACTAGCCTCTGCAGCTTCCTCAGCCTCCCAGACCCTCTCTTGGTCTCCCAGACTCTTGTAGCTGGCCAGACTTTACCAGTTCTTGGGCCCAGAATCCCCCTCATAAAGGTTGTAGTCTCCACCAGGAGCTTCCAGCTCTCCTGACAGGGCTCTGTCTTCAGACTGCAGTAATAGTAACTGTTATTCCATCTCCACCCCTTTTGAGCTATGCTCAGAACTACCTTATAATGAATGTGTGCACCTGGACACACACACTCTGCAGAACTTCTGGCAAACCTGGACATAAGACTGAAGACTCCATCACACCCAATCCTCTATGGAGGCTTCAAGCTTACAGCCCTGATTCAGACTTACCAAATCCAGGGAAAGCTTAAAACAAAGCTTTCTCTGCTCGCAAAACATTTGCTGGAGCCTCTCAAACTGACTGTTTGAGAGTCCTGTGTACTTTTCAAACCCATTTCCACAGTAACAGAGCCTCGCACTGTCACAACATATACACACTGCTCAAAAAAATTAAAGGAACAATTTTTAATCAGAGTATAGCATCAGGTCAATTAACTCCTGGGATATTGATCTGGTCAGTTAAGTAGCAGAAGGGGTTGTTAATCAGTTTCACCTGCTTTGGTGTGAAATTAACAACAGGTGCACTAGATGGGCAACAATGAGATGACCCCCATAACAGGAACGGTTTTACATGTGGAGGCCATTGACATTTTTTTTTCCTACTCATCTTTTCTGTTTTTCACTACTTTTGCATTTGGCTAGGGTCAGTGTCACTACTACTGGTAGCATGAGGCAACACCTGGACCCTACAGAGGTTGCACAGGCAGTCCAATTCCTCCAGGATGGCACATCAATATGTGCCCAGGGGCGGACTGACCATTTGGAAACTCGAGCACTGCCTGAGGGCCCGGGGTCAGTAGGGGGCCCCATGAGATGCCCCTGGTACCTTTTTCATAGGCTTTTTTGAGTTTGGGCAAGGACACAGGGGCCCCATGGTCCCCTATTGACCTAGGGCCCCATGAGTTGTCAGTCCGCCCCTGTATGTGCCATTGCCAGAAGGTTTGCTGTGTCTCCCAGCACCGTCTCAAGAGCATGGAGGAGATTCCAGGAAACAGACAGTTATGCTAGGAGAACTGGACAGGGCCATAGATGGTCCTTAATTTATCAGCAGGACCGGTATCTGCTCCTTTGTGCAAGGAGGAACAGGATGAGCACTGCCAAAGCCCTACAAAATGACCTTCAGCAGGCCACTGGTGTGAATTTCTCTGACCAAACTATCAGAAACAGACTTCATGAGGGTGGCCTGTGGGCCCGATGTCCTCTAGTGGGCCCTGGGCTCACTGCCTGGAACCATAGCGATCGATTGGCATTTGCCATTGAGCACCAGAATTGGCAGGTCCTCCACTGGCGCCCTGTGCTTCTCACAAATGAGAGCAGGTTCACCCTGAGCATGTGTGACAGACGTTAAAGGGTCTGAAGAAGCCAAGGAGAAAGTTCTGCTGCCTGTAACATTGTTCAGCATGACTGTTTTGGTGGTAGGTCAGTGATGGTCTGTGGAGGCATATCCATGGCAGGACGCACAGACCTCTACAGGCTAGACAATGGCACCCTGACTTCCATTAGGTATTCAGGATGAGATCCTCGGACACATTGTCAGACCCTACGCTGGTGCAGTGGGTCCTGGGTTCCTCCTGGTGCATCACAATGCCTGGCCTCATGTGGCGAGAGTATGCAGGCAGTTCCTGGAGGATGAAGGAATTGATACCACTGAATGGCCCCCACACTTGCCTGACCTAAATCCAATAGAAAACCTCTGGGAAATCATGTTTCGGTCTATCCAACGCCACCAGGTTGCACCTAAGACTATCCAGGAGCTCAGTGATGCCCTGGTCCAGATCTGGGAGGAAATACCCCAGGACCAGGGGCAGACTGACAACTCATGGGGCCCCTGGGTGATAGGGGGTCATGGGGCCCCTGTGTCCTTGCCCAAACTCAAAAAGCCAATGAAAAAGGTACCAGGGGCATCTCATGGGGCCCCCTACTGACCCCGGGCCTCGGGCATTGCCCGAGTTTCCAAATGGTCAGTCCGCCCCTGCCCAGGACACCATCCGTCATCTCATTTGGTGCATGCCCTGACATTGTCAAGCATGCATACAAGCACATGGAGGCCATACAAACTACTGAGTACCATTTTCAGTTTCTGCAATGAAATTTCAGCAAAATGGACTAGCTTGCTGCATCATTTTTTTACTTTGATTTTTCAGGGTGTCTTTGAATTCAGTCCTCTGTAGGTTCATAATTTTAATTTCCATCAAACAATGGGGCATCTTTACAATCCTAACACATTACCCAGTCCATATCAGTATAGATATCCATCATGATATTTTTTCCCCATTGTGATCTGATGTGTTTTCAAAGGGTTCCTTTAATTTTTTTGAGCAGTGTATATACCACTAACATGCTAACTTTGTCTTGAATCCACTTTTATAGTAACATTATAATGAGTGACACTATGGGGTATATATACTAAAGCTGGTTCATTCAAAATCTGGTGCAGCTGTGTATGGTAGCCAATCAAATTCTAATCTCAGCTTGTTCAATTAAAGTGGAGCTCCACCCAAAAGGGGAAGTTCCGCTTTAAAGACTGCTACCCCGCTCCCCATTAAGGATTGGCACCTTTGGGGGGCGGGTCCCAGAAGACTACAGGACCATTCATGAAGTGTAGAGCTACTCGCACATGCGCAGTGGGTACCCGGCTGTGAAGCCGCAAGCCATCACAGCCGGGTGCCCACACTGAAGATGCCGGCCTCCTGGAATACAGGAAGGCCAGTGAAACAGGCAACGGGGGACACACCGCGGGACAGGTAAGTGGCTGTTTTTTAAAAGTCAGCAGCTACAGTTTTTGTAGCTGCTGACTTTTTTTTTTTTTTACAGGGTGAGTGGAACTCCGTTTTAAGTTTTAGCAATAAAACCTGGAAGATGATTGGTTTCTATGCAGAAGTGCACCAGATTCTGAGTGAACCATCTTTGGTAAATAAACCCCTATGTTGTAAATGTAAATATCAGTGTGGGTGCATAACGGAACTGAGTATTCTAGCATGATAAATTAAGCAGAACCTCACATACTCACTGGCAGAAAATGACCCGAGGTATGCTTGAGGCTACTCTCTTCTCTTTAATGCAATGTATTTAAAAATGTCCTTCATGAAACAGTGCTCAGATTATACTGTCTATTGATACAGAATTTACCTGAATATCTTCTTGAAACATTTTGCCAGGGCTTGGAATCTGGGGAAATAGCAATATTTTGATCCTGTAGAAAAACAGAGTAATGGGTAGTTATGCAGATGTGAGAGTTAAAGTAGAACCCCAGCCAAAAATAATAAGCTGTACAGGATTAGCCCATTAAGAGCCCAGTCACACTGGGTGCGACTTTCCATGCCATGCGAGTTTCAAATCGCATGGCAAATTGCACACTGTTGTCCGCAATTAAAGCGGTCATATCGGTGTGATTTCAAATTGGTCGGAGCCACACCCATTTCTAAAGTGCAGGCACTACTTCAGGGGTGACATTTGTGTCCTGCAAGTCGCACTGCAAATCGGAACGACATCCGACTTTGAAATTGTGCAACTTCACTGGAAGTTGCACGATTTCAAAATCGGATGGCTGTGACCGGGGACTTATAGATAAAATGACAAAAAAAAACCCTGTTTTTTGCAGCAATAGTCAGCTTCCATCCATTTGTTTTATGCTAGATGTCATCAGACTGGTGACCAGCATCACTCAACTTACTAATTTCTAAACACAGACCATCCTGGACCACCCCAGTCTGTGACTGCTCAGTGAAAGGTGAAGCAGTACAGTGAGTTCACCTGTCTGTCACTCTGCTTTTACTTTCTATCACCATGTTTCTTGTCAACAATTGAATTGATTGGCTCTTTGTACTGCTTCTTCCTGTGGGACAGTGACTGCAAGGGGCTAATAGCAGGTCAAATTCAGGTATGTATAATGCTTGCATTAAAGAGTACATCTAATGATATACTAATGTTTACAGGACTGCATCAATGTGTGTCTTTTATATCTGCCTGGAGTTCAGTTTTAACCTGTTCGCTGCCAGAGTCGTTTTTGCATTTTTTTTGCACACATGTTAAAAAAAATCATTTTAGGCCTGAAGATTACATAAAATGACAAAACATCATATTTTTTCTGAAAGCAGATACCTTGGAGAATAAAATGGTGGTAATTCTATTTTTCCTATTGTTACAATATACAGTTGCAATAAAAAGTATGTGAACCCCTTGGGATTACGTGGAGTTTTGCATGAATTGGGCATAAAATGTGCTCTGGACATCATCTAAGTCACAACAATAGAAGAACACAGTCTGCTGAAGATAATACTACACAAACATTAGATGTTGCCATGGTTTAATTGCACATAACATGTAAACATTCACAGTGCAGGGAGGAAAAAGTATGGCCCTAGATTAATGACTTCTCCCAGAGCTAATTGGAGCCAGGAGTGAGCCAACCTTGACTCCAATCAGTGTGATGATATTGGATGTGTTGCTGACAGCTGTCCTTCCATTAAAAAAAAACACACACCTGTTTTGGGTTTACTGGTTTCAAGAAGCACTGTCTGATGTGAACCATGCCTCGCAGAAAAGAGCTCTCAGAAGACCTACGATCAAGAATTGTTGACTTGCATGAAGTTGGAAAGGGTTACAAATAGTATCTCCAAAAGCCTTGATGTTCATGTGTCCACGGTAAGACAGACTGTCTACAAATGGAGAAAGTTTAGCACTGTTGCTACTCTCCCTTGGCGTGGTCGTCCTGTAAAAATGACTGCAAGAGCACAGCGCAGAATGCTGCATGAGGTAAAGAAGAATCCCAGAGTGTCAGCTAAAGACCTACAGAAATCTCTGGCACATGCTAACATTTTTGTTGACACATCTACAATAAGGAAACATTAAACAAGAATGGAGTACATGGGAGGACACCACGGAGGAAGCCATTGCTGTCCAAAAAGAATATTGGAGCATGTTTGAAGTTTGAAAAAGAGCACCTGGATGTTCCACAGCACTACTGGCAAAATATACTGTGGACAGATGAAACCAAGATTGAGTTGTTTGGGAAGAACACACAACACTATGTGTGGAGAAAAAAAGGCACAGCACACCAACATCAAAACCTCATCCCCTCTGTAAAACATGGCGGAGGGAGCATCATGGTTTGGGGCTGCTTTGCTGCCTCAGGGCCTGGACGGATTGTTGTCATTGATGGGAAAATGAATTCCAGAGTTTATCAAGACATTTTGCAGGAAAACGTACGACCATCTGTCCTCCAACTGAAGCTCTGCAGAGGATGGGTGATGCAACAGGACAATGACCCAAAGCATACAAGTAATTCAACAAAACAATGGCTGCAACAGCACAGAATACACCTTCTGGAGTGGCCCAGTCAGTGTCCTGACCTTAACCCGATTGAAATGCCGTGGCATAACCTTAAGAGAGCGATTCACACCAGACATCCCAAGAATATTGCTACACTGAAACAGTTTTGTGAAGAGGAGTGGTCCAAAATTACTCCAGATCATTGTGCAGGACTGATCTGCAACTACAGGAACGTTTGGTTGAGGTTATTGCTGCCAAAGGAGGGTCAACCAGTTATTAAGTCCAAAGGTTCAGATACTTTTTCCTCCCTGCACTGTGAATGTTTACATGTTATGTGCAATTAAACCATGGCAACATCTAATGTTTGTGTAGTATTATGTTCAGCAGACTGTGTTCTTCTATTGTTGTGACTTAGATGAAGTTCAGAGCACATTTTATGCCAAATTCATGCAAAACTCCACGTAATCCCAAGGGGTTCACATACTTTTTCTTGCAACTGTATCAGTGCAGCAGTTTATGAAACTCAAAATCTCAGTAAAAAATACACTAAAGTTAAACTAAGGGCACACAATAAATTTCCCAATTTTTGGTAAAATATAAAAGATGAGTAAATAGAAAAGTAAAGTAAATAGATATCCAACATGTCAAACCATAAAACTGCATGCACCTGTAAAATGGCAACAAACTTCGGTACCGTATATTTTCCATCATGCAATGCTTTAAAAGCCCCTACAGATAATCAATTTAGAGTTACCCAAGTGTTCTGGTGCTAGAATTATTGCTCTCACTCTGGCATGCGCTGTAATATGTACCATGTGTAGGATAATTAATATGTACCATGTGTAGGATAATCAACATTTTCGCGCGTTGGTTCCCCCGATGCATGGATTTATGTTTGTAGGTGTGTGTATGTATGTGAGGGTCGGTGTGGGTGGTGCTCCAAACTTTTTTGGGGGGTGGGGATTTTATGTGTTTGAATGTAACTTCAATTTGTTTTTACAATTTTTGACATTTTTTAAAAAAAAGTCCCCTAAGTGATGATATTTGATGACAGATTCTCTAATGAGACATCAGGGGTCTTTGCTGGTTTGCCCGGTCATCTGCACACATGCGGTGTTACCTACACACTCACAAAGACTGTTACTAGGGAACTTTCCTTGTCTTCTCATGTGTGCGAAAAATCATCTGCGCCTGTACAGATGTGACAGGCTCTGCCAGGACCAGAGGGCTGGGCATAGCCCCTACGCATGTCTGCATATGCGCATAATGGTGTAGTCTGAGTGGGGTGCGGAGCCACCTAGGAGGAGGATTGAAGTTCCGCTTTAATTTTGTTGACAGAGTCTCCAATGTGCTTATGAAAAAATACAAAAACAATTGCTTAAAATAAAAAAAGGCTTAAAGTTTGTCATATGGATGGGAATAAAGGTGATAAAGATAGAGATAGGGATTAATATGATCAGTTTTATGCTAGACATCTTATTCTTTAAGTCATATTTATATGTTTTCATCACATGGAAATGGCACTAAAATTGGAGCAGGTGGTTCTAATTAAGACCTACATTTTCATGGACCCTATTCAGTGATAAAGGTCCTGTGACTGTATTTCTTGAAT